TATCTCAGGTGTACCCCAGGTATGTCCCAGGTGTGCCCCAGCTGCCCTAGGTGTGTCCTAGGTGGGTCCCAAGTGTGCCCCAGCTGCATTTTAGGTATTTCAGGTGTTCCCCAGGTGTACTCCAGGTGTGTCCCAGGTGTGCCCCAGGTGTGCCCCATGTGTGCTCTGGCTGTCTCAGGTGTGCCCAGGTGTTTCCCCAGCTGTGTCCCAGGTGTGTCTCAGGTGGATTCCAGCTGTACCCCAGCCGTGTCCCAGGTGTGTCCCAGCTGTATTCCACATGCGCCCCTCTGAGTGGAGCCTTGGTTTGGTGTAGCTCTGGGGATTTTCTGCTCCCTGGTCCTGGTGTCACCTGCAACTGTTTCTTGGCAATACTGCCTTGCCTGCAAACGCCAGGTGAGTAGAAGAAACATGACCGGAGTTGACCCCTCCATAAGCGCTGGTGTCCCCCACAGAAAGCTGTTCACCCCAGGAAGCTGTTCACTGTGGGGCTGTTTCCTCTCTAAATTCCTATTATCAGGTGGTTTTCTTCTCACTTGCTATTTTCTTAAAAATAAAAATGAAATCTAGCAGGGAAAACAGCCTTCATAAATTGGTTTCTTCTGGCACCAGCCTCTCCCGTCCGGCCCACATCCCACAAGGAAACAGCAGGCCTGAGCCCAGCTGCTGAGGCCGGGAGTGGCTGGGCAGCTCAGAACACAGCTTTGAGTGCCTCTCCAGCCCCGGGCCCCAGAAGCCTGGGGGTTGTTTGTTCTCAGGGGAAAAGCGAGGCGGCCCCTTGGAGGAAGGGGCTGGGCAGAATGTCTAATCGGATTCCAAGCGGCTCAGGGGATTGTCTTTTTCTAGCACCTTCTTGCCACTCCTAAGCGTCCTCGGTGACCCCAGCTGGGATTTAGCCTGGTGCTGTGTCAGCTCCGGGCTCCCAGGGGTCCCCAGTGGTCCCCAGGCACCCTCGGCACGGCCAGGGCGTCTCCCTCGTCCAGTGAGGGCAGGGACGGGCCACAGGCCAAGGGCAGCAGTCAGGCCTGCTCTGGCTGTGAGTGCCACTGGCTCGGCCTCGGCCAATGGGCCCTCGCGTCTGAGGCGGGCAGGAAGCCAGCTCCAGGATGGATTTCGGGTCCCTGGAGACCGTGGTGGCCAACTCTGCGTTCATCGCCGCCCGAGGCAGCTTTGACGGGAGCAGCTCCCAGTCCTCCCGGGACAAGAAGTACCTGGCCAAGCTCAAGCTGCCCCCGCTGTCCAAGTGTGAGTCCCTCCGCACCAGCCTCAGCCTGGAGTTCGAGAGTGTGTGCTTGGAGCAGCCCATCGGCAAGAAGCTCTTCCGGCAGTTCCTGCAATCGGGGGAGAAGCACCTGCCGGCCCTGGAGCTCTGGAAAGACATCGAGGACTATGACACAGTGGACGATGACCTCCGGCCGCAGAAGGCCAAGACCATACTGGCCCACTACCTGGACCCCCAGGCTAAGCTCTTCTGCAGCTTTCTGGATGAGGGGTCGGTGACCAAGTGTAAGGAAGGGTCCGTGGAGAGCCAAGACAGGCTCTTCCAGCCCCTGCTCCAGGCCACCCTGGCACACCTGAGCCAGGCCCCCTTCCAGGAGTACCTGGACAGTCTGCACTTCCTGAGGTTCCTGCAGTGGAAGTGGCTGGAAGCCCAGCCCATGGGGGAGGACTGGTTCCTGGACTTCAGGGTCCTGGGGAAAGGGGGCTTCGGGGAGGTGTCGGCCTGCCAGATGAAGGCCACCGGCAAGCTGTATGCCTGCAAGAAGCTGAACAAGAAGCGGCTGAAGAAGAGGAAGGGCTACCAGGTGAGCCACGCGGCCCAGCTGGCAGGGGTGGGGCGCAGGGTGGAGAGGGCCGCAGGTCGCCCTCAGCAGCCAGTGCCTAAGGGAGGACGCACGCCAGCCTCGCCGCTGGGACCCCTGAGACCGTTCGCGTCCGTCTCCCTTGGTGAGTGGCCTCCACGTTTTTGGGAGGGGATGTGTCACGTTCGGTCGTCAGTTTTTCACCAGCCACAGAATAGCCTCAAGTATGAGGGAAAGGGCCTCGCAGGGGCGGCTGCGGAGGGCGGGGGTCTCCGGATTCTTTGCCCTGACTGCGGAAGACTTTCCGGCCCTGGCTCCCGTCAGAGCAGACAACGCAGGAGGAATGGAGGCAAGCAGAGGCAGCCTCGCCCTGATGACTCGTTTATGTGAGACGGACGGAGCCTGGCGTGACGCCGGGTGCAGGAACTGCTTCCCGAGTGTGGCTGTTCTTGGGGTGGGAGTGAGTGACAGGATGCCGGTGGCGCTAAGTTTCATCCGCTCTGCCCGCTGGCGTCAGACAGAGCATCTGGGCCAGGATCAGCAGAAGCTGCTTACAGGTCTTAAGGGCGAGGTGCAGCAGCCATGCCGGGTGTGGACGTGATCTCCCGAGCCAGCCCCCTGCCCTTCGGCTCCACGTGGCTCCTGGGCTCTCCCCCACTGCACAGCCATGTTGAGGGCACGGGAAGCTCTCAGGGTGAAGCAGCAGCTGCTGTGCACCCTGGCTCTGCAGGGCCTCAGCCCTGAGTGAGGGTGAAATGCCAGGTGCTCGTGGCGCTGGGCGGAGGCCCCAGAACACCCGGGTGTTCTCACCGTGGAACTCAGGGGAGTCGCTGTGCGGCGTGCTTGTAGCGGTGATTCTAAAATGAGCTTTCTTGACATCTGATTCCCACACCATGCCATTCACATCTACCTGTCAGTTTAACCCAACAATTAGTCTCTTCTCCTGACTCCGGTCACCTAACTGAACTTCATACTGAGATCAACTGAACACCCCCCGTGAAGTGCAGACAGAGGGGCCTCCTCCTCCAGCAGCAGTTCCTTCTTCAAAGAGGGATGTGCTGTCCTGATCCACACACTTACACATTGTTCAGTGGAGCATCGTGAGTCTCAAACACAAAATAAAGCAGAGACGTGAGGTGGTTTGGGAGGCGCTGGTCTGTGAGCCCAGGCCACGGGGCCAGGATGGGAGGGGGCTGTGGCTGCAGGATTGCTGGGCAGGCCAGGCTGCTGGCGTCCTCATCTGTGTTGCTCAGCCTTGGGCTTGAGCCGCCCCTTGCCGGAGGCTGGCCCAGAAGGTCAGAAGCCCCTGTATGTGAAGGAATTCACATGTCTGATTTTCTGAAATAGGGGTGCGGGCATGTTTTGAAGTCCTTTGCAATTGCTTTGTGAAAGCTGCGTTTAAAGTGTGTTTGCAACTCTGTTTAGTGGCTGTGGGTGCCGTGGGCGTGGCCATGGGCACACCGTCTCTGCGATGCCCCTGGCCCCTTTCCTGTTCAAAGCCAGCACTGATGCACCATCTCGCTTTTCAGGGTGCTATGGTGGAGAAGAAGATTCTGATGAAGGTGCACAACAGGTTCATTGTGTCTCTGGCCTATGCATTTGAAACCAAAGCCGACCTCTGTCTGGTGATGACCATCATGAACGGAGGCGACCTCAGGTAAGGGCTGGTAGGGAGGGTGCCAGGGGACCCCGCTTTCGCACTGTGTCAGGGTTTCCAGGGCCCGATGGGGCTGCTTCCCATGTGCAGAGCCATGGCGGCCAAGCCCTGCCCTCGAGGGAAAGGCTTGCCCCCATCACAGTCCCCTTCTTACTGCCTGCAGGCGCTGGTCCCTGAAACAATGCACCTCGGACCCACGTCAGTGCAGGAGCCTGGGAGGAGCCCAACCTGCCAGTCAGGGCACATCCTGTGTGCACCCTGGTGTGGTGTGGGGGGCACATGGTGCCTCGGGGGACAGGTGACGCAGTGGGGGGGCCTCCGCAGGGCCGGGGGCCTTGCACCAGGAGGGTAAATGAAGATGGACGTCATCAACACCCACTCCTAGGGCTGACGCAGAGCTGGAGACAAGTCCAGCTGGGGGCCGTGGCTTTGCTGTGCCCTGGCAGAGAGGAGGTACCAACGCCTCCACAAAGTCTGGCCCCAGATCTGCCTCTGAGGCAGGCCCCAGGCCCAGGTGGGAGATCGGCTCTCAGGCTCACAGTGGGGCAGAGACCTGCTTGGTAGCTGGGCTCTTAGCCACTGCTTGCTCTGTTTCCTGGTCTGTGCAATGGGGAGAGATAATATCTAAGTTCAAAGATTGTTGGAAGATTCAGACAACATGTGTGACATACCTGGAGTGTCTGGCACCTGTAAGGGGGGGGCAGGGCCATGGCTGTGGTTGGCAGCACCGTGCCCCATTCTCACCTGCTTTTAATTTCCAAGGAAACTCCTCGAGGTGAGGCTGGCAACCCCATTTCTCAGATGAGAAATGTGAGTCTAGACTAAGTCACCACACAAGGCTCCTACAGAGAGGAGGGGAGGGGAGAGGGCGCTGGGAAGGGGAGTCACAGGGGTGTCCAGGTGGAGGAAAGGGGAGAGGGCACGGGGAAGGGGAGTCACAGGGGTGCCCAGGTGGAGGGGAGGGAAGAGGGCACGGGGAAGGGGAGTCACAGGGGTGCCCAGGTGGAGGGGAGGGGAGAGGGCACGGGGAAGGGGAGTCACAGGGGTGCCCAGGTGGAGGGGAGGGGAGAGGGCGCTGGGAAGGGGAGTCACAGGGGTGTCCAGGTGGAGGGGATGGGAGAAGGCGCTGCGAAGCAGACACAGGGGTGCCCAGGGTTTTGCTTGTTAGGTTTTGCTTCTCTGCAGAACCTGTCAGTGGAAAACAAAAATGATGTATTATGGGGCAAGGAAGAGGCTGAGAAGAAAATTCTTGCTGCAAATCCTTCAGGTCCGAGGAGCTCGGGCCTGTGGAGCTGCGTCCCACCTCGGCCCAGCCCCTTCCTGAGACGGCTTGGGCTGTTTCCCCGCACCTGCAGCCAGGGCTGGGCGGCCGGGGACAGGAGACACACAGGGACGGCCCTTTGTCCCCGTTAGCAGTTGTGGTTCAGGGTCCCGGAGCCACCATGGCCCGGGTGTGTGGGGGCAGGCCTCAAAACGACCAGAACGCTGGCTGAGACGTGGTTCTGAGGCCCCCACTCTGCCTTTCCACAGTGTCACTCCCCACTAAACCCAGGCGCATGGCGCCCGCCCGTCTGCCCCCAGGTACCACGTCTACAATGTGGCGCCTGCCGTCTGCCCCCAGGTACCACATCTACAACGTGAACGAGGAGAACCCTGGCTTCCCTGAGCCGCGTGCCGTCTTCTACACGGCGCAGATCATCTGCGGCCTGGAGCACCTGCACCAGCGGAGGATTGTGTACCGCGACCTCAAGCCCGAGAATGTCCTGCTGGACAACGATGGTAGGGGGCAACGTGGCCGCGGGACGGGCTCCGAGGAAGGGCGGGCGCGGCTTCCCTGAGGGCTCTGCGTGAACCTCACGAGGGCAGTGGCTGCATGGACAGTGGGGGCGTCACGGACACCGAGTCACAGGAGTGAGCACAGGGGCCTGCGCTGCAGAACCTGCCGGAAACGGCGTCTGTTAGTTCCTGTCCCCACCGTGCCACCCTGTGCCTTCTGCTGGGATGAGCATCACGCAGGGACGCATCTCAGAAATAAACACGAGGTTTAGGCTCCCGACACCAGCAGGTCAGACAAGTGCCGGACGCACGCGAGGGGTCCTGAGAGAGCGCGGGGGGCGGGGGGCGATGAGAGGAGCTCAGTGGGCGACACCTGTACCCAGCTGCCCAGCTGCAGCGTGGCCGGCCCCTTCCCTACACCCTGTGCCTGCTGCCATCAGCCAGGGAGCTGCTGTCGTGGGCGCGACGTGGGCTGTGTATGTGTATGTGGTTTGTGGGGAGTGTCTGTGTGTGTGTGTGTTGGGTGTGTGGTGTGTGACATATGGTGTGTGGTGTGTGTGTGATCTGTGTGGTGTCTGTGGTGTGTGTGGTGTCTGTGGTGTGTGTAGTGTGGTCTGTGTGGTGTCTGTGGTGTGTGTGGTGTGTGGTGTGGTCTGTGTGGTGTCTGTGGTGTGTGTGGTGTCTGTGGTGTGTGTAGTGTGGTCTGTGTGGTGTCTGCGGTGTGTGTGGTGTGATGTGTGTGGTCTGTGCAGTGTGTGGTGTGTGTGTCTGTGTGGTGTGTGGTGTGTGGTGTGTGGGGCGTGTGGTATGATCTGTGTGGTGTCTGTGACGTGTGGTGTGTAGTGTGGTCTGTGTGGTGTCTGTGGTTTGTGTGTGGTATGATCTGTGTGGTGTGTGGTGTGTGGTGTGTGTGTCTGTGTGGTGTGTGTCTGTGTGGCGTGTGTGGTGTGTGGTGTGTGTGTCTGTGGTGTCTGTGGTTTGTGTGTGGTGTGATCCGTGTGGTGTATGGTGTGTGATGTGTGTGGTATGGTGTGTGGTTTGTGTGTGATGTGATCTGTATGGTGTGTGTGTCTGTGTGGTGTGTGTCGTGTGTGTGTGCATGTGCGTGTTTGTGCAAGGGTGGCTCTGGGCCCGCCAGCACCTGTCCTGTGCAGCCAGGGGTGACTCCGCTGTGTCTGCCTCTCAGGCAATGTCCGGATCTCTGACCTTGGGCTGGCCGTGGAGCTGCTGGAGGGGCAGAGCAAGACCAAGGGCTACGCAGGGACCCCAGGTAAGGATCGGAGCTCCGCTGGGGAGGCTCGGTGCACGCATCCCCATGCACGTGTGTGCCAGTGTACACCGCGTGCACATGTGAGTTTGTGCATATATGTGTGTCTGTGTGCACGTGGCATCTGTGTGTGCCTGTGCCTGAGGGTGTCTGTATGCATGTGTCCCTGTGGTTGTGCATTATGTGTATGTGAGTGTTGTGAACCCTGAAAATCAGAGACAAGTCTCAGTTAATTCGGAAAGTTTATTTTGCCAAGGTTGAGGACACACGCCTGTGTGCTCAGGGTGCTCAGAGCACAGTTTGGTTTTGTACATTTTACGGAGACATGAGACGTCAATCAGCAAACGTAAGATGACCATTGGCTCCGTCTGGCAAGGAAACACAACTGGAGGCGAAGGCGGGACAACCTGAAACAGGGAGGGGGCTTCCAGGTCACAGGTAGATAAGGGACAAGCGTTTGTATTCTTCTGAGTTTCTGATTAGCCTCTCAAAGGAGGCAGTCAGATAAGCATTTATTCCAGTGAGCAGAGCTTGACTGAGTAGAATGGGAGGCAGGTCTGCCATAAGCAGTTCCCGGCTGGACTTTTCCCTTTAGTGATTTTGGGCCCCAAGATATTTTCCATTTACAGTGTGCATGTGTGCTGTGTGTGTATTCCTGTGTCTCTGTGCACAAGTGTGTGTGCCTGTGTGTGCATGTGTGTCTGTGTGTCTGTGTGTGCATGTCTGCGTCTCTGTGCACATGTGTGTCTGTGTACATGTTTGTGTGCCTGTGTGCCTGTGTGTGCATGGCTGGGTCTGTGCACATGTGTCTCTGTGTGCGTATGTGCATGTGTGTGTCTATGTGCCTGTGATGCATGCCTGAGTCTCTGTGCACACGTGTCTGTGTGCATGTGTGTGCCTGTGTGTATGTGTGCCTATGTGCATGTGTGTGTGTCTATGTGCCTGTGTATGCATGCTTGCATCTCTGTGCACACACGTGACTGTGTGCATGTGTGTGCATGTGTGTCTGTGTGCCTGTGTGCATGTGTGCATGTGTGTATCTGTGTGCCTGTGTGTGTCTGCGTGCCTGTGCACCTGTGTGTGCATGCCTGGGTCTCTTTGCACACGTGTGTCCATGTGCCTGTGTGTGAGTGCACATGCACGGTGCATCCTGCTGCCTCCCCCATCCCATCTCACTCATCTCCTCTCACCTCCCCTCAGGCAGGGAGGCTCACAGCAGCTGCAGAGGTGAGGAGACCCCACAGCCAAGCAGAGTGGGGTCTGTGTCCCGGGCCCAGCACCTGCTGGCATGCGGCCTGTGTGCTTTACTTAACCTCTGGGCTCCTGCTAGCACTGGGCGCACAGCCTTGCTGAGGAGACCTCATGGGCCACGTGCCCAGCGCCTGCTTCAGCAGCCACACCCTGAATCTCAGGGCCTCCTCTTTCCTCCACAGTCTTGAGGGTCCGCGTGTTGGGGCTCAATTCCGCTGGGATTTCCAGAAAGGGTCCCTTCCCCATGATTGCTTGGGCTTTGGGGAGGCGGTGCTGTCGCCTGACGGGGTTTGTGTGCGGTGGTGATGCCGTCCTCCCATGCTGGTGCTTAGGCACTGGGCGTGTTTGTGCCGTGGCCACGATAGGGACATCCTCGCCACAGCTGGACTCAGGGGAAGGTGCATCTCTTCCCTGAAGGGATGAGGGCTAAGGACTGTTTTCCCAAAGTTCTGAGGAAGGGCAGTGCTGCACCCACACCCGGCACAGCTGTGTGGCAGTCCGGATGTGGGGTTCCGTAGCCACTGAGTGCACTTGTGTGTCTGTGTGTGCCAGTGTGTGCTTGTGTGTGCTAGTGTGCCTGTGTGTGCCTGTGTGCCTGTGTGTGCCAGTGTGTGTCTGTGTGTCTGTGTGCCCGTGTGCCTGTGTGTGCGTGTGTGCCTGTGTGTGCCAGTGTGTGCCTGTGTGCCTGTGTGTGCCTGTGTGTCTGTGTCTGCCCRTGTGCCTGTGTGTGCGTGTGTGCCTGTGTGTGCCAGTGTGTGCCTGTGTGCCTGTGTGTGCCCGTGTGCCTGTGTGCCTGTGTCTGCCAGTGTGTCCCTGTGTCTGCCTGTGTATGTGCCAGTGTGTGACTATGTGTGCCTGTGTGTGCTAGTGTGTGCTAGTGTGCCTGTGTGTGCCTGTGTGTCTGTGTGTGTCTGTGCATGCCTGTGTGTGCCAGCGTGTGCCTGTGCATGCCTGTGTGTGCCAGTGTGTGCCTGTGTGTGTTTGTGCATGCCTGTGTGTCTGTGTGTGCCTGTGTGTGCCAGTGTGTGCCTGTGTGTGTTTGTGCGTGCCTGTGTGTCTGTGTGTGCCTGTGTGTGTGTGTCTGTGTGCCTGTGTGTGCTAGTGTGCCTGTGTCTGTGTGTGCCTGTGTGTGTGTCTGTGTGTGCCTGTGTGTGCTAGTGTACCTGTGTGTGCCAGTGTGTGCCTGTGTGTCTCTGTGTATGCCTGTGTGTGCCTGTGTACCTGTTTGTATTAGGGCTCTGTGCAAGACCAGCCACCCAGTGGTGGAAGGTCTGAGAACTTTCTGGAAGGCAGCTCATCCTGGGGATCCCATGGCTCAAGGAAGCCTTGGGTGGCACCCGCTTTTCATGAGACAATCCAAGCCTCTCTCTGGGTGGGTGCTGTCTTCCTGGGGTCTTTGGGACCCTTGCCAAGCCTGGGCTTGAGCGCGTGGTTGGAAGCCCCCTCACACATTTTGGGGAGATCCAGGTGGACCCTGAGGTCAGGACTTGAAGGGTTAACCTCACAGATGCAGAGGTCCCAGCTTCGAGTGCGCGTGTGAGGGCCCAGCTGACCACCAGGGGGCTCCGCGCCTTCACTGGTGCAGGTTCCTCGGAGCACCAGGTGCACAAAGGACCTCCCAGCACGTCTCTGTCACCAGGTGCAGCCAGGCCGGGCTCAGGGCTCAGGCCGTGACCAGTCCCCCTTGCCAGTGCTGTGCCGGCCCGGGGCAGAAGCAGGGCGAGGCCGGTCACTGCATAGTCCTCAGTCTCCAGACGGGGCAGGAAGTGCTGAGGGGCAGAATTTGTGAACAGAGCAGACGGAACTGGCTCCCTCACGCTTGCTGTAATATTAATTGGCTGCGGCGTGGCTGCAGGTCCCTCGGGAGACCTGGGGCACAAGCAGATGCCGTCCGGCCGCATGCTGGGGGTCAGGCCAGGAGGGCTGGGGGCTGTTGGCCCAGGAGCTGAGGGAGCCCTGCGGTCTGGTGGGCCCTGCTTGTGCATTTTGGAGCTGGGAGGGCTCTGGGTTTTCTGGAGGCCGTGATCGTGTGAGCGGCTCTGGGTTGTCTGGGTGTTGTGGTCGTGTGAGCG